TGGCCCCACCGCGAACAGGCCTCCTGTGCGAGCCGCGGCGGGGCCTTCCCCGCTGCGCGGCCTTCCCCGCTGCGCCCTGCGCCCGCCCTCTGTCGTTTCCCCGCCAGAATTAACAGCCCCGAGGAAACAGAAAGGCAAACATGGCTGTGCCGGGACTCCAGCCCCTGTGGCTTCCCAGTTGAGGGAAATATCTGTGGGTGACACAGCGAACATTGCCATACAGTCTCACCAAACCAAGTGTAGCAGGCTGGTACAGTGCCCTGCACCATATGGGTCCTCAGCGTAAGTATGGCAGCAGCCTGCTCCTATATGTGTACAGCCATGTCCTGTCAGTGTGTCGAGTGTGGCCTCCATCAGAGCAACTCTGTGACTCCTGCCTTCAGACTGTAGGCCCACCACCATATCCTAGGGATGTGTCACAACCTGCGAAAATGCTCAAAATGGAAATAAGAAAGCAAAAGCATCAAAGTTAGGGTAATTGAAAGCATAGGTTTTCAGAGTGGGTGAAGATAGGTGTTGCCTTTTTGTCAGGATATCGCCTGTCATGTATTCATTCTGCTCCTCAATAAAAAAAGTCTGTAAGATTATTTGCTTTTTATTGACTTTCAGTTGTCTAATTTGTTTTCATTCCTGCATTGATTAGAATTAATGTATTTACATTTAGCTTCCAGTAGGGTGAAGTTATGATAACTAATTGACTGATGAAAAACAGGAGCATCAACTGATGTTGGCTTATAGGAGTGAGAAATAGTTCTCCAAGAAGCCAGTTTTTGAAAAGATGAGGATTTGACACAAAATCCATTTATCAACTATTACAGGATCTGTTAGCTACTCAGGTTTCATTTCCTTTATTTAAAACATGTACATTTTTTGATTTAATGGTTGCTTGTAACATCTGTAAATGTAAACAGCCATTATTCATATGCATGTTAAGTTTTACTGTGTCTTAATAAAATTGGGGTTTAAGAGAATGAGGAGTAAGGTTGATGTACATGTTTGGCATAAGCTTTTTGATCAACTAGAAGTCTCCACCAAATAGTCTTTTTAAAATTGTATCTATTTTTGTTTGAACAAGCTACATATGTATGTTAAAATAGATATAAGTATGCATGTTAAAATACATAGCTTGGCTTTAACATTTGTGTATGTGGTTTCCTACCACATTTTTGGGGGGCAGAAAATGCATTTGGTGTTTTTGGTAGATTTTGGCAGAATTTGTCTTTATAACCCCTAAATTATTCTTGATAGTGGAATTAATTGTTGGTAATAACCTTGGTAAAAGCCTAGTGTAACTCTGCCAGCAACTGCCATGGAACAACCCTAAAATCTAAATTTAATAGTAATGTAAATAAAAATAAAGTCTGAAACATTACTTTCCTTTGCCCTGTAATGCTCAACACATCACCATGCCAAGGACGGGATTTAAAAATATGTCTCATTTTTTCTTTGTCATTTCAGTTGGACGCATCGTCTTTGAATTATTTGCTGACATTGTACCTAAAACTGCTGAAAATTTCCGTGCATTATGTACAGGAGAGAAAGGAACAGGGCCTACCACTGGAAAACCTCTCCATTATAAAGGCTGTCCTTTCCACAGAAGTAAGTTCTATGAAATCCCCTGTTTTCTAGTTCACACAGAATCACAGAATCACAGAATCGCTTGGTTGGAAAAGACCTCCGAGATCATCACGTCCAACCGCTCCTGTCTACCCCCTAAACCGTATCCCTAAGTACCTTGTCTACCCGCTCTTTAAATACATCCAGGGATGGTGACTCCACCACCTCCCTGGGCAGCCTGTTTAACAGTTAACTTCTGTTACAGTTCGTAACAGAAGTCCTCCATTTGAAATAATGGAGGTATTTGAAATAATATTAAATAATAATTTGGAGCACTTGTTTAAGAAATAACTTGACTGAAAGTAAGTTTTTGACTTTGGTCCTCCTAATGACTAGATGTTCTTACCATGTGTTGACAATCGTAAATTATAAATTTACCAATAAGTTAGTATAGTGAAACTAGTTTACTATGAGTTGGGAGTAGGTTGAAATGGATTTCAGGTAAAGGATTACATATCAAGTGATGTCCACTTAAAAGGAGTACTTAGGGGAAACTTTGATAAATAAAAGGTGGTTTTCAGTTTTATTTAGGCACGGGTACTGGTGACAGGGATTTCTCTTCATCTCTGAATTGTTCTTCTTCTGCCTTGCTGCTATATTTTATAACTTCTCTTTTACAGTAATAAAACAATTCATGGTACAGGGTGGAGATTTCTCAAATCAAAATGGCACAGGCGGAGAAAGTATATATGGTGAAAAATTTGAAGATGAAAACTTTCATTATAAGGTACTCTATTGATATTAACTGTGTTCAGTTTTTGAAGTTTCAGTGATTTTTAATTTTTCTTCTAGTCCAGAATTAGCTCTGTTTAGTCCAAGGTCAACACACTTCTAAGCAATGTAAAGAATACAGCAAGAAAGCCCCAGACTAGTTTGTCCTTAAAGTATTTGTTGAATGCAGAACAACTACATGTGTGAATGCATTCAGAATGAGGCCAACCTCATTAACAAAGACAAACATAGTTTAAATTTTGTTGAAATAGTATTTTAGTTCTCATTAAGGTAGGGGTGTTAACATTTTAAGAGTGGCAAATTTTGTCATTCTGAAGCATACATAGTACGTTAGTATTAAATAGATTTTGTGTTTCTTTTTTTCATACACTAATAACATAAGATTAGATGTGAGAAATACCTTTCTTAATTAAGAAATGGGAATCCATGGTAGATTTCAGAATTAATCCAAGGGAAAATTTAAAAGCAAGCATTTTACCCACTACAGTTATTTTCAATGATACGAGTAGGAAAAGACTGTGAATGGCTTTTTTTTCACCCAGAATGTTGGAAAAATGTGCTGTGAACAAAGCCAAGTTTTTGAATATGCGGAAGTCTTGATTTGAGGATCTCATTGTAAGATACTGGTTTTTATGGCAGAAATTCCTACCTCTCCCTTTACTCATTCCCTCTTACGTATTAGAGCTCACTTTTTAATTACTAGCAACCATTATTGCAGTCCCACAAGCTTTTTTATCAGCGCAGCTGCAGGAAGAAGAGGGAGCTGTTCTGCAAGAGTAGGAAATTCTGAAACTGCCCTTGTCCTCAAAATCAACATCTAGTGACGCCGTGAAGACTGCAGGAATGTGTGCTTTATACATATAAGAAGTACATTTTTTGAACAACAGTTTTCTCAGAGTATGCCCTGTATGTTGTCTTGTTTCTTTTGCAAAGGCATAACTTTCAAAATGTCCATTACTTTTCTTCAGGCTTCTCTTTGTCATCAAAATCAAATGCAGTTCATGTTTCCAGAGTCTGTCTTTTCATGTAAGATTGACTTCTTTTTTTATGCGTTTGAAGAAGAAATGTTTGCCTTTTGTATTTTTAAATTTTTTAGTTCTACCTTTCTTAAAAAATTAGTATTCCAGAAAGGGAAGATGACTTTTCACCATACTATACAGGAGGTCTGTGTACCTTAAGGCTACAATTTATACATTATCTGAGGATCTCAAAATTTAAGTATTACCTGTACACTGTGACTTACATTTTTGGCTAGCAGACTTAGCTATTCTGAATAAAAGTGGCAACCATAATAATTGTTCTGAGTGCTCATCTGTGTTCTCAGCTGTGCATAAAGGACCGTGTAGGTGTAAAAAATCCCTTGTGCTTGATTTATCAGTTACTGCATCTGAACCTAGGTGGGAGTACTATCTAGAAACAACAAAAATAAAATGTTCTGCAAGTACCCCTTGCAACAGCCAGGACACCTGCTGCTGTAGGTGTAACAGTTTTCAGCACTGGCATTAACCATGCTACTATGTGATAGCATATGAATGACTCCTCAGCAACACTGACTAAAAAACTTAGGGACGTTGCTGTCCCATGGTTGAAACAAAGCCCTGACTCCAATAGTACTTTCCTCCAGACAATATTTTGGAAAAGAAAATACAGCAGTCCTCCACTAATCAGGCATCAAAGTCGATTACCAAGTTCAGAGCAATACTTGGAAGTGTAGCTCCAGCATTCATCATAGAGTTAATTACAGTTGTGACAGATGTTCTCTGAAGTCTGACACTTGCTGTAGTGGTACCCATAGCAGTGCTGCTTAAAGTTACTATGCTGCCTTGGTCCTTGTCACAGGATCTATAGCTTCCTGAAGAAGGAGGCTTTTGTGTAATTGTTTCTTTTGTTGTACTGTCAAGTGAGATCTGGAGGTAATTATGAATGGAATGCAAATGATTCCCATTTCTGTACTTCAGTCAGCTATAACAAAAGCTGTCAGTGTGCCAGGGATGAGTTGAAGATCACTTGGATCTTGTGCAGAATCTGGGAGCTCAGTTCCCATCATGCGTTGGCCAAGTACGTTAGGACTTTCGTGGGAGTTAAAATGCCTCTACTACATAGAAATTCACTGGATCTTAATCTGGCAGTGGTGCAAAGTGTCTTCAAACCACTGTCTCAGACAACAGTTGTTTTTGTTGGCACGTGAGGACACTGGAGCTGCCTGTCTGTTCTTGTGGTGTTTGTGTGGTTTCCTGTAAATTGCAATAAGCTATAAGGCTTTGTCAGTAGTCAGCTTACCCTGTCAGATCAATCCCACTAAGCTTTTTTTGATGTCGTTTCTCCAGCTAATGGCTGTGCTGTTGTGGAACACTCAACTTACACAGTGTTGTTACTGTGGCATAGTTTTGCAAGCCTTGAATCTGTCAGAGAATGTGATTTTGTCTGGACTTTTTTACTTGCTTTGTAAGCCTACAAAATGACAAGCAGAAACCATCATGGGAAAGACAATATATCTACCTGCAGTGATTTTCAAACACTCATGGCAAGAAGATGCACGAGTGACACAATTTTGTTTATAAATAGAGACCGTCATCATGAGATTAATGTTAAGAGTTGGTTCCAAACAAAATGGGGTTCCATGTAAATGTGAAGACCAGAGCCACCAGACTGCTGTCCATAACTTTTGAACTTGTCCTCCAAATCTTTACAGACAAAAGGTAAATGTGCAGGTGTAAGGCAACATCAGCTTATTGTTCCTTGGCTTTTTGTTTACAAAGCATTGCTGTCCAGAATTAGTTGCAATTGAAAAACAAAAAAAAAGTAGTAACATTTACAGGTCGTGGTTGAAAGATTCAGACTCTTCGTGCCGTATGACCAGATGAACGCCTCAGGCAAGGAGTTCCCTCTGCCACCATGGAAATCCAAACACTGCATGGGAAAATAGTTTTCGAAACAACAGGTTCTTCGAGGTGGTAGAGACTATAGAGACAAACCAGATGCTTAAATACAGCTACCTCAGACTGTTGTCTAAATCTACTTAAACTTCTGTTGAGCTCTGAGGTCTGCTTCACAGCAATTTCTGCTTCTGTCTCTATAATGTCATACTTTTTTTTGGCTGGTTTTTTTTCCCTCCTCACCTTCCCACAGTATCAAGTTTCTTAGGAATACCACTGGCATGCTTCAGACCTGTACCAGTGTCTTGGTATAACATACTGACTTACATTAAACAGTTCCTTGCACTTAATAACCAGATCAACTTGGGGAAAATAATATCTTGATGACTGTGTATCTTAATGACAGCCTAACAACAAGAGATTCACAACACATATGAAAGTACATTTTTGCAGTATAAGTGAAAATGAAATAATCTGTGTGATAGAGCATGATAATTGTTATTTCAATGATGGAAAAAGTACTTGCGGGAAACAAGATAAACAGTATCTTCTCACGTTGAGCTGTTAGTTTATGGCCTGGTAGCATGAACCAAAATGATTAGATGGTTTAAAATCCCAACAGAATAAAAACTGTCTGTCTAGAAAAGTGAAGGATTTAAAAAAAACCCCACCTACCTTGAAATTATAAAGGCAACAGTCCTCTAAACCCCATAATTCTACAACTCATTTTGTGTGAGTAGCCCATACAAAATTAACAATAGATACCTGTCTTGACAGTGTAACATTAAAGGTGGTTTAAGTGGTGTTTTGCTTCGTTTCTTGAGGCCAGTGGTCTTGCATAATCCAGTGAGGAACTTCATATACCCCTCAGGTGATCTGTTTAAACTCAGCAGCTGTGCAGTGGACTGAGTGTACAAGAAGCAGGCAGATGTTGCAGCATCAAGTCACACATATGGCTCTGCTTGCTAGACTGCTAGGTGGCAAGTAAAGATGCAGAGCTGGGCAATTTGCCATCTTCAGTCATGATAGGTAGAATTAGTTGCCAACTGTATGTAACTGGTTTACCAAGTTGTCATAATGGCTGTCCTTGCTATGTATATTAATAGCCTTACAGAATAATATGTATGATTTTATAACAGATCTTTTTTATGTCGGTTGTGATTTTTCCCCCCTCCGCCAACGCAGCATGATAAACCAGGGCTGCTGAGCATGGCAAATGCAGGACCTGGTACTAATGGCTCTCAGTTCTTTATTACAACGGTGCCTGCTTCTCATCTGGATGGGAAACATGTGGTATTTGGCCAAGTAATCAAAGGAATGGGTGTAGTTAAAATACTAGAAAACGTTGAAGTAAAAGGAGAAAATCCTGCTAAGGTAAGCAAAATCCAAAGCACTTAAGGATGATGTTTATTCTTCTGTCATATTATGTATATTCAGTTCTAAGTAGTTGGTGTAATGTTTAGAAGTATAAAATGTTATCCAGTTAGTTTTACTAACAGTGTTAATTTCCATTTTACTGTCCTTGTTAAGAGGCTTTTGAACTTTTGCTGTAAAGTTCCCCTGCACAAACAGTTGATTTATTCAACACAGCTGTGAGGGTAGAAGCCTCTTTCAGGGTGAAGTTGGAAATGTACAACTAGAAGTGTAGGATGGGCTACAACACTAAAAGGTGGAATTCACAATCCTGCCTAAGTGATATGTAATTCTTACATATTTTATGTCATAAGTTGTCATGATTCTGTAAAAGCAATCAGTGTGTAGGTCATGTCAGTTTGTGGTTGTTTGAAAAATTAATACCTCTGTAACTTTAAAAGATTTTGCAGTTTGAGAAAGAACCACCTTCTCTAATGTAGTAGAACTTCCATGTCTTGTGTTTTGCTGCAGTTCAGCTTGCTGCCAGTTCCTCTTCCAGCCTCCCTCTGGAGTGTGGGTATGGTGTTCTTGGAATGCTGCTCCTCTGAAGGCAACACTTTCTGTGATAAAAGCCTTTTGATGAGGATAGGCTAATGGTGTGGCAGGTTTCTGAATTCAGTGCACCCAAACAGTAGATGAAAAAGCATTTTTACTGAATTTCAAAGACCCCTCAGAAGTAGTGGCTTTTTTGGGGGAAATTGTCTTAAGAAGCAATACTGCTGTTTACACTTTATTTTTTTCTAGTTGTGCATCATTGCAGATTGTGGAGAGCTAAAGGAAGGAGATGACTGGGGAATTGTTCCCCAGGATGGATCTGGAGACGCTCATCCAGATTTTCCTGAAGATTCAGATACAGACTTGAAAGATGTAAGTTTTTTTCTTTTAAGATATTATACAAAATACCAGACTTGTACGTAATTTGAGTTACATGGTGTCTGTGGTGATGTTCACTAAGCTTTTTTTTCTTAAGAATTCATCAAGGTTTAATTGATTAAATGGTGACAAATTTTAGGAAAGAGAATGCTGTGGGAAGGGATTGCTATCTCTTTTCTTCAGTGCTAATTTCAGCTGATTTTTTTTCCCCAATAACTAAAACCACGATTACATACAATTATGACACTTAATTTTTTTCTGTTCTTCATTTCTTTTTAGAGTTTGTTTTTGTGCTGTAGTGACAAATTGCAATTACTAGAAATCCATCCTGCAGGTGATTAACTTTATGTTGTACCTACATGCTGCTTCTGTGCAACTTTTTAAATATCCACCATTAAAAAGATTTTATTTCACTTACTAGAAAAAAATCAACCTTTTATAAAGATTTTACTACATCAGAGCTAGTCAGTCTCAATTCCTAGTAGTTGTTTGCTTTTCAAGAGGTTCAAATTGAAGGATGAGCTGTTGTTAAGAGTTAGGGAGCAGACTGGTGAAAGCAGCTCTTCTGCAGGTTTTTACTTCACCATGAAAGTGAAATAGACAAACTGTATAAATTAAACAGTGGTTTGTGAGAGGGGAAAAAAGAGGGGGCTGCACCTGCAGATTCCAAATACAGAATTAGAAATAGAATAGTAAAAAAGCCATTACAGCTAGAAACCAGAAACTCCTTGTATCTGGCTATTGAGAAGCACTTGAGCTTGAAGATGTTTTTGGATAGCATTTGCTGTGGCTCAGAACTGAAGTTGGTAGGTGTCTGCCTCCTTTAACTTTAAACTTGTTCATATAAACTAATTACAGAAACCATGGTGACAGTTGCCTCAAGCTGTGAGCAGTGTTTTCAAGGTGATTAATTCTAGTAGGATAGAAATGTAAACTGATAGTACTACTGACAGCAGTACATTTGTATATTATACATATTACATATGTATATATAATATATATGTATACATAATATTGTAGATATTACAGTATATCCATTTGACAGAGCTTAAGATGACTGTTGTATAGACAGCAGTAATTAGAAACTATTTATTGCCACTGGGAAAGTAACTTAACACTTGAAATGTGTGCCATTCTGGAAGCAGAAATACTGCATTTGATAAAGACAGGCAGTTGTTCTTTTCCTCCTTCCATAGATATTTCAAGTGTTTTGAGAGAAAGAGAATTGTGTTGATACAACTTCGAGTATGAGAGAGTGCATAGTTCAGGTGACTAATACCATTTTGAGAAGCAGAAGACAACATTTTCTCAGGAATAAGACAGTCTTGCTTGAATACTTTGATTGTTAACCTGTCTTATTTTCTATGAATAACAGTCCACAACTTTATGTATAGCTCTGTGTGGGTAGCAGCATTTAGGGAAAGGGGAAACTGCTATGTTGTCTCTGGTATTTTCTCATCCGTTATACTGTAGAAAATCCATTAGGAATGTAATCTTTCAGACTATTGTATTACATCATAGAATAACAGAATCATATAATGGTTTTGGTTGGAAAAGACCTTTAAGGTCATCGAGTTCAACTATTGAACTAGCCCTAAGACCACCACTAGACCGTGCCCCTAAGCACGACATCTAATCGTCTTTTAAACACCTCCAGGGATGGTGACTCAACCACCTCTCTGGGCAGCCTGTTCCAGTGCTTTACAATGCTTTCAGTAAAGAAGTTCCTCCTAATAACCAACCTAAACCTCCCCTGGCGCAACTTGAGGCCATTACCCCTTGTACTGTCACTAGCTACTAGGGAGAAGAGACCAACACCCACTTCACAACAACCTCCTTTCAGGTCATTGTAGAGGGTGATAAGGTCTCCCCTCAGCCTCGTTTTCTCCAGACTAAACAACCCCAGCTCTCTCAGCTGTTCCTCATAAGACTTGTGCTCTAAACCCTTCACCAGCTTTGTTGCCCTTCTCTGGACACGCTCCAGCATCTCCATGTCCTTTCTGTAGTGAGGGGCCCAAAACCGAACACAGTATTTGAGGTGCGGCCTCACCAGTGCCAAGTACAGGGGAAGGATCACTTCCCTGGTCCTGCTGGCCACACTGTTCCTGATGCAGGCCAGGATGCTGTTGGCCTTCTTGGCCACCTGGGCACACTGCTGGCTCACGTTCAGCTGATAGTCAATCAACACCCTCAGGTTCTTCTCCAGGCTGCTCTCCAGCCACTCCTCCCCAAGCCTGTGGCGTGGGGTTGTTGTGACCCAAGTGCAGGACCTGACCCTTGGCCTTGTTTGAAGCTCACACAGTTGGCCTCAGCCCATTGATTCAGCCTATCCAGGTCCCTCTGCAGAGCCTTCCTACCCTCAGGCAGACCAACACTCCCTCCCAACTTAGTGTCATCTGCAAACTTGCTGAGGGAGCACTCAATTCCCTCATCCAGATCATTGATAAAGATGTTAATCTAAACTGGCTCCAAAATTGAGCCCTGGGAAACACCACTTGTTCTGCCAGCTGGATTCACCACAACTTTCTGGGCCCCACCATCCAGCCAGTGTTTTACTGAGTGAACCATATGCCTGTCCAAGCCAGCTTCTCTAGGAGGATGCTGTGGAAAACAGTGTCAAAGGCCTTACTAAATCCAGGTAGACAACACCCACAGCCTTTCCCACATCTATTAAGCAGGTTCAAGGGACTTGAACTGCTGCCCAAGGGACTCTGCAAACCAAGTTCCTAAACAGGCTGAAGTCTGCCCACCGGCAGTCCAAAGTGGCAGTTCTGCTAACATAACTGTGTTATGCTAACATAACATGTTCTGCTAACATTTGTTACATAAAGTAGATAATATCACAGGAGTGGTTTGAAGCTAGTATTTGTCTAAAATGGGAATGTTTTTATTCTGATATTTTATAATAACCTTTGAAAGAGGATGCACGTGGGATCCTACTGTTAAATAGTAAGTAATTCAAGACTTCTTTCATAAATACATTCATACTTTATATTTTCCATCTATTTTATTAGGTTGACAAGATTGTGGCCATAGCAGAAGACATAAAGAATATAGGAAATACTTTCTTCAAATCGCAAAATTGGCAAGTGGCAGCTAAAAAGTACAGTAAAAGTTTACGGTAAGGCTATCATCATTTAATCAGGTAGTTCCTGTAACCCAAATTAATACTGCTATCAAGCAATGATATGTGCATTTTAAAAGTGCCTGTTGCTGTGCTCTTTTTTTTTTAAATAAAAAGAGCCTTCTGAATCTGGAAAACATCTGGTTGATTTTTAGCTTCTTATTCAAGTAGGTCTTCTACTCATTGCTAGGTAAGTGCAATAGGCGGGAAGTAGTGTTTCGAATGGACTAAATACTTTTTTAATACTCTTGCTGTGCATAACTGGGAAGGAAAGCACAATAGTGTATGCAAGGTATGCACAGGAAAAGAGGGAGATACTTTTTCTCTGATTTTCAAAAAAACAGTAAGTTTAGGAAATTGACAGTTCAAGAGAGAGCACCCCCAAATGCGACCCTTATTCACTACTATTTTCCCTGAGGCTCCATACAATCATCCTGACTCCATGTATAACTCAGACTTGCCTTCAAAATCATGATCTTTCTGCTTTTGTTTCCATACTGCTCCTTTCTTCTTTTCATGATTTTTGCTTTATGTATATGAGCTTCTCCTAAAACTGTTGGGTTGGTGGTTTTTTTTTTTGTTTTGTTTTAAGTTACACTGACCTATATCTCTACCTTCTTAATGACCACTGGTTAACTAGCAGTAACAATAATGAAAGAAAAATAATTCAGGCATATTTAATGCTCCAGCTAAGGTTTTTAACTGACTGGATTTCAAACAAATGATGTCTTTCTGAGGCATGAAAAATGAATCCTTTAATTATAGATAGTAACCCAAGATGTGATGTCTCCTCCTGCCCTCAAAAAGCCCATAATACACGAACAGAAATCCTGAAGTAAATAGGATTTCTATGTAAACCTTTTAGAAGTCATACAGAAAAAAAGGCTGGAATAGATCTTTAAGGAACTTTGTGTTACATCTATTTGTTTCCTCCCCCCATTCTTAGGTAAATATCATGGATAATTATGGCATCCCTTAAAACTGTCTTGCTCACTCTTAAACACATCCAATGAAGGCTTTTCCAGTTTGAGTAGACAGCTTCTATTTGGTGCTAATTTGTCCTTTTCTAGACTAAAAAAATTGGATCATTCCAGCTCTTCTTTATAGGTCATACTTCAGTGGACATGCCCTGTTGTATCTTAAAATCTAATTCTTTGCAAAAGATGGTGTACTTTAGCTGTCACTTCGCCGGAACTGATAGGAATTAGAATAGCTCCTATCATGTTCCATGTCTTATGTACAACTCACCTAGCAAACAGTCTGGCAATGTTGTTTTTCTTTTTTTGCCAACAGTAACCATTATAACTCTCTGTTCTTTTTCTTGTCTTACTGGTGCTTGAGTTTTTTTGTCCAAAAATGTATTACTTCCTGTTGTCTCCCTTGATATTAATCTTACTGATTTCTTTGACTTGGAACCTCTAATTTTGTTTCCAGAATGATTGCAGTCTTTCACATTTTTATGTGATTTGTAAGTACTATAAATGTAGTCTGTTTGTTCTGAACATAACACAGTTTTGTATTATAACTCTCCTTAGCTTTTTACTCTTTTCTCTCTCTTCTGGTTCTCATCTTTTGCACAATGCCCAGCAAGTGGAAAAATCATTGGGACTATGTCTGATTTACTGGTTTAAGTATAGCTTATTTCTGTGGTCCAAAGTTGTATACAAACTTACAACACTCAAAAGATAGGGTATGCAAAAACTGAACTTACATAGGGGCTGATCTGCAAAGACTGCATTAGTCATGGCATGTTTAAAATGTGAATGTATGCAAACAGATTTTTAAATTAAAAAAACATAGAAGTTCCATCAAGTAGGCTATTAAAAGAGTTAGGACTTTTATATCCACAACTGACTTTTGCCACTTGAAATAAAAAATTGACAGCATTAGCACATCGTAAATTAAGAAGAATGAGATACAGTTTGCCTGTGAAATAGAGATGCAATAAATGATGTGGCTTAGTCCTGAACCAGTATCAGTTTTGAAATTCAGGAAAAAAATAATGAAGGAAGACAGTGGAAAGAAGGTGGCGTTACTAATGCTTGTAAAACACCCTCCTTTACAAAGTAAAGTTAGCTTCAGCTTTTCAGCCATAAATGCCTGAATTAATTAAAATATTAATGAAGTGGAGATGAAGGTTCCCATGAATCTGGAAGGTGCAGTGGTGATGTTGACATTTTGCCACTGATGAGCAACATGTTTTTTGAGGATAAGCAGTCACTGAGATAAATTCTAATGATTTCATGCCATCTAGTATAGTCTAGGAAACAGAATGCTGTTAGTACAGTGGAGGAATAGGAGTTACTGGAAGACATTAGCCAGTGAGTTCAGATTTTTTTTTTTGTCAGAATAGGTCTTACATATTTAGTTTAATAAATATTTGTAATGATGGAATTGAAGCTGCTTTAAAAATGCCAATTTGGAGAGGCCAGTTCACACGTATCTGTGGGAAGATAGCTAAAGGCAGAACAAAATGGAAGTTGCAACACTAATACCTGTTTTTTGTAAATCTGTTTTTTGTAGGTATGTAGAAGCTTCTGAAGCAGTGGCAGAGGAGGCAGACAAACCAAAGTTAAAGACTGTTGCTTTGATCTGTGTTTTAAACATTGGCGCTTGTAAACTAAAACTGTTGGATTGGCAGGGAGCCATTGAAAGTTGTTCAGAGGTAAATTTAATGTTAAGTATTTCAATTAACAATGGACCTATATAGAAAATGGAGACTGAAACTACAAAACTTTGTTTCCTGACAACCTTATGATTTGAAATTAAACAAAGTAGAAGGCTGATTGTGAAGTTATTACTAACTTTCCAGTATGTGGCTTTTTAAAAAGATTTTGAAATTGAAATGACTCATTAGAAACAAACAAAAGAGGGCAGTTGCTTACTGCCAGAAAAAACACACACTGTCATTGTCTGTTTTGTTTCCTAAGAGCAGAGGTAAATTTATATTACAAAGAGTTAAATTGTCTTTAATGAAAGAGGAATACATTTCCCTGGAAGAGCAGTATGAGCAAAAAGTTTTACTTGCTTTTGGATGCGATGATCTTGTATTTTATTAATTGAAGTGACTTTTCTAACTAAAGCCCTTTTAGGTAGGCTTAGTGGTGAAATGAAACCAGTGAATAAGAAGAAATAAGAAAGGAAACAAGAAATATGGAAATATTGAAAAATGATACAATTAAAGAAATAAAAAAGGAACCGTGGCATAGACATACTAACAGAATTTAGTACATTTGAGGAAGCTTTAATTAATTCAGTAGAAGTCTGAAATTTTGAAGGAAACAGTGTAAAGAATGATCTTATCTGTTAACTGAAGGTCAGGACCAGCATCTCCTAGGGATTCATGCTGAAAGCAAGAGTCTTGGCTAATCTGTGTATGAGAGGTCTTACAGAATCATAGAACGTACTGGGTTGGAAGGAACCTTGAAAGATCATCTGGTCCAAACCCCCTGCAGTAAGAAGGGACAATGTTATCAGATCATGTTGCTCAGAGCCCCATCAAGCCTGACCTTAAATGTCTCCAGGGATGGGGCACTACCTGTCTGGGCAACCTGTTCCAGTGATCTACCACCCTCGTAATGAAGAACTTTTTTCCTAATATCTAACCTACATCTACCCTTTTCTCGGTTAAACCCATTACCCCTCATCTTATTGCTACATGTCCTTGTAAACTGCTCTTCCCCAGCTTTCTTATAGGCACCTTTCAGGTACTGGAACGTCTCTATAAGGTCCCTCCGGAGCCTTCTCTTCTCCAGGCTGAACAACCCCAACTCTCTCAGCCTGTCTTCACAGGAGAGGTGCTCCAGCCCTCTGATCATCTCTGTGGCTTCCTCTGGACCTGCTCCAGGAGTTCGTTGTCCTTTTTGCGTTGGGGACTCCAATGCTGGACACAGTACTCCAGGTGGGGTCTCAC